ATATGTTGTTACATTAAATAAAACTAATTCAATTTACCAAGTATATTCTACAATCTTACAGCTAGCCATTCTTTAATCAAACATGTTCTACTGTCTTATCGTTACAGTCAAGCATTATTTCAATCAAATATATTCTACAATCTTATCGTTACAGTCAAGCATTATTTCAATCAAATATATTCTACAATCTTACAGCTAGCCATTCTTTAATCAAACATGAACGATAAGATAGTAGAAACAGTCAAGCATTATTTCAATCAAATATATTCTACAATCTTACAGCTAGCCATTCTTTAATCAAACATGTTCTACTGTCTTATCGTTACAGTCAAGCATTATTTCAATCACATATATTCTACAATCTTACAGCTAGCCATTCTTTAATCAAACATGTTCTACTATCTTATCGTTACAGTCAAGCATTATTTCAATAAATAATGCTTGACTGTAACGATAAGACAGTAGAACATGTTTGATTAAAGAATGGCTAGCTGTAAGATTGTAGAATATATTTGATTGAAATAATGCTTGACTGTAACGATAAGATAGTAGAACATGTTTGATTAAAGAATGGCTAGCTATAAGATTGTAGAATATATTTGATTGAAATAATGCTTGACTGTAACGATAAGATAGTAGAACATGTTTGATTAAAGAATGGCTAGCTATAAGATTGTAGAATATATTTGATTGAAATAATGCTTGACTGTAACGATAAGGTAGTAGAACATGTTTGATTAAAGAATAGCTAGCTGTAAGATTGTAGAATATATGTGCAATCAAATATATTCTACAATCTTATTCCTCCAACTAAACGTTACTTGATCAACTATTATATATATATTGTAAATAAATTAAATAACATAAATCCAAACTTACCTGGAAGTCTGGATGATAATGATTCATTGTGTTTTGGTTGCTTGTAATTTCGTAGATTTTTAGATCCTTGTTTAGTGTCTTTAGGTTTGTGTGATGTTTCCACGATAGTCGATACCTTATCTGGATGGTCTTCAAGATGGATGTCGGACAGTTCATTGCACTCACTGCACGTACTTTCTTCTTCTGTCAGAGGCTGTGCACTGCACAACTGGCAGCTACCGAGCCATCTATTGGATACTTGGAGATTTTCTCTGATTAAACTACTGCCAGCATTTTGCCTAGTTTGTGGCAAACATGTTAAGGGGACACTTTTCGTAGACGTTGGTGTTAAAGATGTGGGAGGGTCTTGTTTAAGATGACATTCTGAAAGCTCAGTCAGCTCTAGCATAGAACTTTCTTGTTCTCCTATTTCAGACCACTTTTCACCAAGCCTACGAGAAACACACAGAAAACTAATAATTAAATAGAAAAACTTCTTAGAATTTATAATTTCTACATTCATATATATGTATAGATAAAAATACTGACATATTAATCATGCTCATAAGTTAAATAAGACTAAACATAATGGAATAGGAGTAATTCATTAATCTAAGATGGAAACATCCATCGGAATACAATATGTACTGTGCAAGTTCATTTTTAAAAATGTTTCCCTGAAAGGAATTAAAATCCATCAATCTTCGGAGAAATCCATGACATTGAAAATAGCATGAATCAGTTGTTGTTTATCACAATCTTAAATCCAAGTGTTTCCAAACAAACTGGATACAGTAAATTAACCTAACTTTGTCCAACACTAATTACAACCATTTGTAAGAACACCTTTAAATTACTAATAAAAATGGGCCAGGGTGGCCTAGTGGTTACTGTGATGGATTCGAGGGTTTATGGTTAGTTTTATTTCCACAAAATCCCACAACAATTTTGGGGCTGTGAGTGTGTTATAAGAATGACTATCAAATCCCTCTACTGATGTAGCTTTACTAGAATTCCTAAAACAAACTAACTACTAAAAATAATTACTGACTCGCATGTTAACTTACAACTAGCCTAACACAACTGAATGGAATGAGTCGTGCCCATATTATAAATCTTTTTTCCACAAGTCGTAACAATGATCTTCACACTAATGTCATATGGTATGTAAGGTGTTTTACAATAATCAACTCTCTTAATTCATATCTTTTTACTGTCAGTCACTTTCATATTATAGTCAGGTTTGTAAATACTATTCTTCAACAGTCTGTATAATGAACTATATATTAGAACGAACTATGTGAAATTCACACAAGTTTTTCTTATTGGCTGTAAATAGTAAAACTATTGTTTATTTTGTTCACAATGTTTTCACTACTGTCCTTCTCATATATCAATACTCTTGATCACATAGACTTTATTATCCCCAGTTCTTATATTTACACTGCTGACGAGAACAAACTAATTATAAACAATATTTAGTAGAGAACTATTATTTTTTCTGTTGAATCGTGCACACCACATCTCACCTTCACACTGATTGTAATCACAATCACAGACCGACCTGCTTAAAGGTATCCATGAATGTTGAACTCAAAACAAAAACTTTTAAACCTATATATAGAATGATTTACTGATATTACAAGGTCTCTAATTAAATATTCTGTCAGGAAATATTTACTTGGTTGTAAAATACGAATTGTAAATAAAGTACAGCCTATAATTGATAAAGTACTAACTGAAAATGCAGACAAAACTTTAATGTAGTTCAGTTTTCATGAGAAAACTTTTATATGAAACTGCCAATCAAAAATTCAGTATTACAAAATATAATGCTGCATTTTCTTAAATTTCTTTAAATACATATTAATGTCTTAATAATAATAATAATAAAAAAACAATGCATGGTTATCCATAACTTAAGCCTAAATGTATGTGATCAAGTCATATTCTCATGCTTTGATATAAATGTAGGACAGCAGTACAAACATGGAATGTGATAAATCATTAAACTATTAAATGTTTTCTTTTCCATTATATTTAAGACACATGTGCATGGAACTTAAAACAGAATTTTATAACACAAAACAACCCAATCATGCAAAACATGTGTTAAGTAAACACTACACAGGATAGTTTCAGTTGTTAAAAAGTGTCTTACTAGCAAGTGCTAAGGGGTTAACCCAGGCATGGGCAAAATATGGCCAGTAGGCCAGATCCGACCCATCTGACACTTCTGTCCTGCCCACCATGATTCCCAGCAATTGTGGAAAGAACATAATGAGGTCTTTATACAATTTATGTTGTGGTAATTTAATCAATACAGTAGAAATATCAACTTACTAACGTAGAGGATAGTAAAAATAATGATTTAACGATACTAACAAAATCTTTTCAATGCTTAAAGATATCTTTCTGTCAAGGCTACCAATTCAAACAAAGTCCTACCTTCGACATAATTCTTGAACAATCACATCACAGTCTCCAAGTAGCTCCACGTCAAACGTCAAGTGCTTAAGACGTTCTCGATTAATCAGAATTTGTGGAACTTCAGGGGATATAGAGCCTGCATAAGGTGAGTTAAACATATTTTGAAATGAAAACAAAAAAAAGAACTTTACAAAAAATTTGAAAATGTTTGTTAACAACAGTTTAAATCAGAAAAATATATTTAACGCAACATATCTCAAGTATTTTAAAAATAATTCATTTGAGATTTATTACAATTTAGTTTTTAAAGCTAATCTTCTTCCAAATCATTTTAGACAAAGGAAAGAAAAGGAACCACTTCATTGTGTTAATACAACACATAAAGAACAATCCAGTGTGTTGTCACAAGAACACTAACAATGTGCTACTCCACTGTGCTAACATCATTGTACAAAAAAACCTATTTCAGTGTGCTGATAACAACAAAAAGAGCTACTTCAGTGTGCAGACACCAAAACATAACCTAATTCTGAGTGCCAATACCAACTTACAGACAGAGATACTTAACCTTATGAATGCCGACTACTAAATTATTTAGTAACGTCACTCTCTTCATATATTGTTTAAAATTGGACAAGATTATTCCTAAAAGTATGTAGTTTCAGAAAAAAAATATTTCATTTTGATTTTTTCTACTATTTCTACTAAAAAAAAATCTTTATTTAATGTATATATTTGCACTCGCACTTTGAATAGTGATTTTTTATATGAAGTATAAGTATACTATTTTTATCTTACAGTTTATACATTTCATTTGTATAATCTCATAAATGAATATCAAAAGGTAAATATATTTATTTTTCATCTTCTCTACTATATCTATCTATTATCATCAACAATGAAATATTTAAAACTAACAAATGTAAATATGTACATACCTTTCAAATCTTAGAAATGAACCAGAATAGTCATGTTTTTCTTATATATACACAATTTCACATTTTTATCTTTTCACTTATAGTTTATTTATAATTTTCCTTTTAAATTCTTTGTCTGCTATATTTTATGCCCATACATTAACTGATGTCTGCAGGGCTTTACGAAGGTATTTTGGCAGACTCCCCGTCGAGACACTTATAAATGCCATCTTGTTTATAACCTTTGAAAATCCAGGGACAAGTTAAACTTATAAAAATCATTAAACATTCAAATATGATTTTTAAAACACACATAATGGATAATTAACTAAAATACAATTTAACGGTCTGTTGTTGTTGTTGTTCCTGGCAGTTATTTAGATTTAAAAATAATTATTTCCGAAGCAAATAATTATTAATCTAGGGTGTTCGAAGATTAAACAATCCTCCTTCACCCTGCTCGTGGTAAAAGGTTACATGACGTTTAGAGGTCAGCGGAGTACTGAGCCGAATGGACTAAGGGTAATTCAGTAAACAAAAGGAGAAAATTAAAAATTAAAATAAGTGAAGCAGAGTACCTTGAGGCTAGACAAAACACAACACAAAACGGCCGATATCGGACAGATGGTCCTTCAGGGCGGCGGGGATTCAGAAATCCTATGCCGAGAATTTAATGTGGGGGAAACGGGAGTGCCCCGGATTTAACGGTCTCTCTATCAATAACCTATTTATGTAAAAAAACTGCCATACATTCTATAGTTGATCAAGCAAACAACAATACAAATAGCAGTTATATGTACACCGTAAGGAAAACCACTGGAGTATAGTGTAAACTGAGCTCTTTCTAATGACTATATACATTTGTGTCAACTAAATACATGTATGTTGTAGATCTCATGAAAAAGTAGATGAGGTGGGTCTGGAAACAATCAAGGATTGGAAAATTTATTTCTCTTTCCTACTGAATACTTTAGATTTTATGTATCAATTAGGTTAAAAATATGTAGTTAGTGTTTAGAAACTCCTGTACATTGCCAGCTCACGTAGCTGCTAAAGTTGAGATTTTTCAAAGCTGGTGGATCATGCAACATGAAAATTGCAGTTCAAATAGTTTTTTTAAGGTTTCCTTTGAAACAAAGTAATTAAAACTTAAATAAGATATTTTATAATGTTACTTTCATTGACATATATTTATAGTAAAATGGTTTAATTAAATTTTATATATAATGCAGTACCATACACAGAAAGGAACTTAAAAATGGCACTGGATGTCATAGGATTAAAGGCACATTTCTGCTCATCATTAATCTTTACTATAAGAAAAAAATGTGGTTTTGTATGAGAAATCATTGCTGGTTTTTTAATAAATTAACACCAAATCTTCAGAATAAAATATTCAGTATTGTGCTTGTGTGGATGAACTGGTTTTTGTTTTGGAGAGGTTATAGACAGAATGAAATTATTCATTTTCATTAAATTTTTCAACAACAGCTAGTCATAATGATTACTTTCAATATTCTTTTGCTTTTAACTTAAATTGCTATATGGGTGCGTTGAAACAAAAGGAAGATAACAAGGAACAGAGTAGAGAAAACAACATTACAATTACTATAAATTGTAAGTTAGTCCTGTTTTCTATTTTAACTCACCTGAGACGTTTACAGAACAGTTTTCTCAAATACTGTTATGCAGTGGGCTTAGCTCAACATTATGTTGTTGTAATTTGATTGGGTATTTAAACTTACCTGAAAAAATGGCTGTCCTGATACAACTTGTTAGCAATATTGTATGTTGATGCCTTGAATGACAAAAAGATTAACAAGTTAAAATGAACTTACTTGGAATTAAAGCTACTGGCCTCACTTTGAGAGAAGAGCCCATTACGATAAGCAAGTCACAATGATCCTTGTCTTTTGCCATCATCTGATGAAACTCATCTGACAGTCCTTCTCCAAAAAACACTATGTCCGGTTTCATAACTGCTAAACCATCACCAACCTTTGGACATTTTGGACACCTAGGTATCCTCTAAAAACAGAGGGTGTAGTTATTTACTGAATTAACATGTAAATGTATCTTATGGATGAGATTAATATCTAGTTCTTCAAAATGGACATAACCTCCTATAATACTAATATGACATCATATTTTAAGTTCGTAGCAACAGCAGCTGTTAAACAATGGAAATACCTCAATTTTTACAGTTTGGAAGAAGTGATAGGTACATATTAAAAGTGTTAAATATGAAATACAGGCCTATCTATCAACTTGTATGTGAAGTAATATATCTACTCTAAAACAGGCATCAATCTAAAGATAATCACACCTTTAGTTTTTCCCATACTTAAACCATATCTACTCTAAAACAGGCATCAATCTAAACATTATACTTACTGTACACAATATAACGTTGCTACCAGTGACACTTACTACACAATATAACGTTGCTACCAGTGACACTTACTACACAATATAACGTTGCTACCAGTGACATTTACTATACAATATAACGTTG